GTGTGTGTGTGTGGTGTGTGTGTGTGTGTGTGTGTGTGTGTGTGTGTGTGTGTGTGTGTGTGTGTGTGTGTGTGGTGTCATGATTCGGTTCTGTGTTGCTTCCTGTCAGGCTTTTATTTTGATGCTACGTCCTGTTTTGTTTCACCACAGTTTTGGTCTTTTTACTTTCTTCATCACCCGCATTAGTTTCACCTGCTCATTATAGTTTGCACCGCATCATAAGCAGCCTTCACCCACCAATCCCAGCCAGATTGTTCTAGACGCCACCTCTCACTCTCCAGCATTTTTCGGTTTTGGTACTTTGTGTTTTTGACTCGGCTTGTTCCTCTGACTATTCTGTTCTGCCTTGCCCTCTTGCTTCAGACTGTCACTGTGTATAATTATCGGACTTCCCTTTGGACTACGTATTTGGATTCCTCTGCTGTATGTGTTTGCTGGCTCTGATCTCGGACTGTTTATACCGACCTGTGATTTTTGTGTTTCACCGTGTCTTGTATGGTTTTGTTTAGCGTTAGTTCTCTTATTAAAGAGACGGTTTTGTTTTACATTTCCTTGTCTGGCCTTTTAATTGAGTTCACCCTCAACATTTTTGGCAGCATAACGCGCCGATTCCTGACATGTGGTGTGTGCGTGTGTGTTTGTCTTTATATACTTGTGCGAACCAACCCCTGATGGAACACCTTTCTTGTGTGGACATTTCATTGGTGACTTTCACCAATGCGGTTTTTGTACTATGATGGACTCTAAATCCTGACTGAAAATCCTCAAACAAATCATTCTTGTGCAAGTGGTCACATAACTGCTTTGCAACAGCTTTTTCAAGGATTTTGGAAATAAATGGGAGATTGGATATTGGTCTATAATTAGCTAGGACACCTGGGTCAAGAGTAGGCTTTTTGAGTAGAGGTTTAATTACTGCAAGTTTAAAAGCCTGTGGAACATAACCTGTTAATAGAGAGAGGTTAATCAGATCTAGTATGAATGTGTTGATTAGGGGAAAAACGTCTTTGGGCAGCCTGTTTGGGATGGGGTCCAGGAGACATGTTGATGATTTAGATGAAGCAATTGTTGAGGTCAACTCAGAGAGATCTATAGGGGAGAAGTAGTCCAAGTATAAATGACGT